CAAAAAAAAAAAAAAAAAAAAAAAAAAAAAAAACCGGACGTCTTTGTTGAAAGCTATATCGTTATGAGCGAGGCTGCATCATCATTTCCGGCGGCTGCATTTCATCTTTCTGCTGTTGCGGTGTCTCCTGCCTGTGGCTCTACAAGTTTGGAACTGGATAAGGATGCGGTATTCTTGGCGGGAAAGCAGGAGACGGCAGAGTCGATGGTGGGATTAGCAGGAGGAGGCAGAACAGGAGGAGATGGAGGAGGAGCTGGACGAGTAGGAGGGGGAAGAGGAGCAGGAGGGGGAGGAGGAGCAGGAGCAGGAGGGGGAGGAGGGTTGGAAACTGCTGTGTTGATGGCAGGATTAGGAGGAAGGACAGTAGAAGGAGGAGGCAGAACAGGAGGGGGAGGAGGAGGGGGAGGAGGAGGAGGGGGGCTAGAGACTGCTGTGTTGATGGCGGGATTAGGAGGGAGAGGAGGAGGAGGAGGAGGAGGAGGAGGAGGAAGAGGAGGAGGGGATGGGGAGGCGCAAGCTTATACTGGTGAATTATGGCGATATCATCCGTCTCCTGCATCTCCTCTTCCTCCTCCTCCTCCTTGTTCTCCTCCTCGTTCTCCTCCTCCTCCCTTTCCTCTTCCTCTTCAGCTATCATTCTCGCCGGCACTTCCTCCTTTCGATGCCCCAGTACCGACCAATTCCTCCTCTCTTCATCTGGTTTTCCCTCCTCCTCCTCCTCCACCTTCTCCTCCTCCTCCTTCTCCTCCTCCTTCTCCTCCTCGTCATTGCTCTGGTAATTTACCCCCAGATGCAGATCAAGGCGATGTGAAGGAAGCAGCAATGGGGGGAACTGCCGCGCAGATGCGGATTTCCAGGAAGAGGAGGAGGTTGCTCGCAAAGAAGGAGAAGCGGAAGAAGCGGCGGCGACTTGCTGCGGTCCTCGAGGAGGAGGAGGAGGAAAAGAGGAAAGCCGACCCGGAATATCAATGGAGAGAGAAGATGAGGGAGGTGGAGGAGGCAGTGAAGGAGCAGAGAGAGAGAAGACGCCATGACGAAGAAGAACGGCTATGGTGTGAAAGGGAGCGGCTGGCCTCCGAAGCCGCAGAGAGGAAGATGAAGATCATGATGGAGTTGGAAGAGCAGGAACGTCAACGGCTTCTGAGACTGAAGGGCGAGGGAGGAGCTGATGGAGGAGGAGGAGGAGGAGGAGAAGGAGGTGGTGACGATGGGAGATGGCCATCATCCGCATCAGCGGTAGCAGCAGCCGACGAAGAGGAAAAGGGAGAAGAAGAAGAGGAGGAAGAAGAAGAAGAAGAAGATGCTGATCAGTGGGAGTATATCGAGCGGGAGCTTCCTCCTGACATCGTCTGGGTCGGCAACGAGATCACTGTCACCAAAAGAACTGAGAGGATGAGAGTCAGGAAAACCCTTGGCGGCGGCGGCGGTGGCGGCGAGAATCCTCTGGCCCCACAGGACAAAAGTCGGTTGTTGTTGACGTCAACGGCGCAGCGGCCTGGTTCCTTGGGTCCGCAGTCTTCCGCGTTCGCCACTTTCCTCGCCGATAAGATGATGACGTCAACGTCAAATGCGCAACAACCGCCAGGTCGGCGGCTCACCATTCGCCCTCCGTATAATCGTCCCTCCGTACGTAGCGGAGGAGGAGGGGGAGGAGGGGGAGAGGGAGGAGGAGAAGCGGGAAGCAGGAGCAGGGTCATTGGTGGAGATGGCGGTGCGGGCGGCGCTGTCCCTGGAGGAGGAGGAGGAGGAGACATCTCGACGATGACGACGAAGAAGGAGGAGTGCCCTTTTTACAAAAAGACGGGTTCTTGTCGCTATGGAGATCGTTGCAGTCGGGTCCATGCTTGTCCCGATACCTCCCCGACGTTGATGATTCGTGGAATGTTCACCGGTCCCGGAATGCTCCCTCTTCCCGGCGAACAGCATGCCGACGCGTGGCTGGAACGTGATGATGACGACCTGCTTGAGAGCTTCGAGGAGTTTTATGACGACGTGAAGTCGGAGTTTGAGCGGTTTGGCGAGATTTACAATTTCAAGGTCAGCAGCAACTCCGTCCCTCATCTGGCCGGCAATCTGTATGTGCAGTACTGTACGGAGAGGGCTGCGGAGAAAGCACTAGAGGGTCTGAACGGGCGCTTCTACGCAGGCAAGCAGCTGATCATCGAGTATTGTCCGGTGATTAGGTGGCGCAGCGCGCTGTGCCAGCAGTATGTTCAGCAGGAGGCCACGTGTCAGCATGGGGGGCGGTGCAATTTCATCCACCCGTTTCCCAATCCGAGGGGGGAAATGGATCGGGCAGATCGGGATCTGGGCAATCCTTTCTGTGCCGGTCTGTCGAGGCGTAGCAGCAGAAGGGGTTGGGATGGTAATGCCGGCGGGGATGGGCGGAACAATGGGCGGAACGATGGGCGGAATGATGGGGTCGGGGGAGAGAACAGCAGGAGCCTCGTGGGTGGTGCGGGGGGGGATCGCCGCTTAGAGTTCGGTTGGCATTCGCGTCATCCACATGACAAAAGAGGGAGAGAGAGGGGGAGGGAGGGAGAGTGGGGGAGGAGGGAGAGAGAGAGACCGCGGAGGGGGGATCGATGGGACCGCGACCGAACTGCAGCAGACTCTTCATCGGATGGGAGAGAGAGGATTAGCGGGGCGGCGAGAAGGGAGGAGGAGAGGAGGAGGAGGAGTCGGGGGGATCGGGACCGAAGGTTGGACGAGGATCGGCGGGCTCAATCTTCTTCGTCCGATGTGGAGAGGACTAGTAGGGGGAGAAGGCACAGGAGGCGGGATCGCGATAATCACGATCGGGATCGGGAACGAGGGGGAGATGACCGGGAAGAAGAAGAGCCGTTGTCTGACGGAGAGCGGACTAATAAGACGGCGAGAAACGGGGTGAGGAAGCGGCGGGGGGATCACGGTCGGGATCGAGATCGAGGGGGAAGCGGCGACCGGGAAGCGGCTTCTTCCTCTGGCGGAGGTAGGGGTAGGACGGTGAGAAGGGAGAGGCGGGGGGATGGTGATCGGACTCGGGATCGGGATCGGGATCGGGGGAATGACCGGGAAGAGTCTTCGTCCGACGAAGAGAGCAGCAGGGTGAGGAGGGAGGGGAGGAGGAGGACGACGAGGAGGAGGAGGGAGGAGGAGGAGGAGGATAGCTTCGCCTTCAGCAGCCGCCATCACCGAGAAGAGAGACGGGGGCGACGCGAAGCTTCCCGCGACTGCAAGGACGACGATCAGCGCGGCCAGAGGAGGAAAGCTCCCGGCAGAGGATCATCTGATGAGCAGGAGGAAGAGGAAGGCAACGGTCAAATCCAAGAAGAACGAGAGAGGAGGAGGAGGGGGAGGAGGAGAAGCAGTGGGGTAGAAAGGAGGCTGGAGAATGAAGATCGGCTAGGTGTTCATCTTGATGAGAGAGAGACGGGTTGTGGTTGGTCGAGAGCCGGCAAGGGTTCCGCACATGACCTCGACTCAGGGGATTGTCGGGATGATAATGCTGATGATAACGCTGCTGCTGCTGATGATGATGATGATGATCGGGATCGGGAACGCGACGATCGCAGTGGTGTTGTTCGCGGCCGCAGCCTAAAAAATACCAGCCGGGAACGACATAGTGATGATCGGGATCGGGATAGAAGCAGGAGGCGTTTGACGATTAGGAGTGCCGACGAGGAGGGTATTCGTGCTAGAGTACCAGATGAGTATGAGGATCAGGAGGAGATAAGGAATAAGGGCAGAAGTCAAGAAGAAGAAGAAGAAGAAGAAGAAGAAGAAGAAGAAGAAGAAGGTGGTGAAGAAGAAGAAGAAGAAGAAGAAGAAGAAGAAGAAGAAGAAGAAGAAGGAGAAGATGGAGATGGAGGTAGGCACACAGGAGGATGGGATAAGAAGAAAGCAACCAACACGTCCAGGAGAGAGAGGGAAGAGAGGGAGGCTGATGCAGAAGGGAGGAGAGAGACAGATGGGAGCTGTGGGATAGACCGACGAGTGGAAGTGGTAGACGGTCAAGGATCACAGGCAGACAGGAGCAGAGAAGGAGACGGAGATGGAAACGAGGCCACGAAAAGTTTTGGCGGGAGGGAGATGACGAAAGATGGCGGGAGACATGAGATGACACAAAAAATTGGCGGGAGAGAACGGACGAAAGGTGGTCGTAGGAAGGGGGGAGAGGAGCTGCGGAGAGATGGTGGGGGGAGGGAGGGAAGGGAGATGACCAGAGGTGATGGGGGGAAGGGGGGGAAGGAGGGAGAGGAGCTGGCAAGAGATGGTGGGGGGAGGGAGGGGAGGGATATGACGAAGGATGATGGGGGGAGGCAAGGGGGGCAGGTACCCAGAGATGGTGGGGGAAAGGAGGGTGAGGAGCTGGCAAGAGATGGTGGGGGGAGGGAGGGGAGGGAGATGACGAAGGATGATGGGGTGAGGGAGGGGAGGGAGATGACTGGCGAAAGCCGTGAATCAAGGAGACCAGATGATAGATCGGAGAGAGACGTCAGGTGGAGGCAGGGGAGGGAAGGGAGAGAGGTTTGGGGGGAGGAACAGAGTAGGAGAGAGTCGGGACAGAGTGGTAGACACAGGGAGCATAAGGACGTGAGGGAGGAGATCAGGGATGAGGGATCGGAGAGAGACGTCAGGTCGAGGCAGGGGAGGGAAGGGAGAGAGGTTTGGGGGGAGGAACAGAGTCGGAGAGAGTCGGGACAGAGGGGAAGACACAGGGAGCATAAGGAAGTCAGGCAGGAGAGCAGGACTGGGGGAGATGGTTCTGCGAGGAGGGATAAGAAAAGGCGGCACAGAAGGGAGGAAGTGAGAGAAGACAGGAGGGACGGGGGGAATGGGATTGACGGTGAGGACAGGGAAGACGTATGGAGGGGGAAAAAGAAACGAAGGAAGAAGCAAGCGGGGGAGGAGGAGGAGGAGGAGGAGGAGGAGGAGGAGGAGGTGAGGGTCCGTTGTGATAACAGATCAGATGTGCCAAGTGAGATGACAATTGTGACAGGCGAGGGTGTGGTAGGTATTCGCATGGGGAGGGACCCTGTACGGAGCAGAATAGGTGTTGGCGATAATGATGGTTCATCTAGTGATATGTTGGAAGGATGAAAAATAAATAAAAAATGCTTTATTCTATAATTTTGCAGTGATTTTGGGAATTAATTCCATCTCATCTCCTCCCTCCCTCCTTTTCACAATCCGTGTGTGCCTTGTGGGGGGCTCCCAGCACGCTTGTTGTTCATTCCCCTACCTCCCAGGTCCCCCCCTCCTGTTTGATGTCCTTCTCCTCGTCGCTTAATTAAGGCCTAAGTTGCAGTTTATTCCCCCACCCCTCTACCTTCTTCCCCCAAATACAACGTACGGTCATTATAGCTGTATTTGGGGTATCTATCAGTCTAAATACAGCTATAATGACCGTACGTTGTATTCGGGGGAAGAACGTCGTCTTCTTCCTCGTTGATGTCCTCCTCCTCGCAGCCCTAAGTTGCCGTTTAGTCCCCCACCCCTCTAGTCCTCTTCCTCATTGATGTCCTCCTCCTCGCTCAAGCTGTTTATTCCCCCACCCCTCTAGTATTCTTCCTCATTGATGTCCTCCTCCTCCCTTAAGCCACGCCTGAGAGCACAGCTTCACCATTTTGTAAACGTTTTTAGTGTCTGATCAGGCCTCACCTCTGAGGCCATACTCACACTTGGACTTTGCTGAGTGCATCTGACTGCAATTACGGCCAGATCTTAGTAGACAAAGTCGTAGAATTATGTCCTGATTGTTTATGATTGATGGACATCATCCAGAAGAAAGTTCAGAATTCAGAAGAAAATTCAGGAGAAAGTTAATATCATGAAGAAATACGGACGGCACCAGCTGGCCTAGCTCAGTTGGTACACCCCTGACCTGAACTGTTGAAATACAGACCCCCCCGAGTCCAAACTCCACTGGGGGGGAAAAAAGAGGAAAAAGAAAAAAAAAAAAGAAGAAAAACCAAAAAACCCGACGGTTCACGACTTCCTTATATGATACTATTGTGATCGCCTCTGATGCAGTGTGCGGCTGCGGCTGCGGCTGCGGCTGCGGCTGCTGAGGGATATTATCGTCTGGACAAGGCTAGAATAAACCTGGTCTAGTTGCAGACCAGGTCTGTGATATCTTCGTCCAGCT